GCTTTTCAAAAAATTTGTCTTAAGTGTACAATTTGAAACTAAGAAAGGCAGGTTTGGGAGTGTGTAACTTACACACTCACAAACCTGCCTTTCTTAGTTTCAAATTGTACACTTAAGACAAATTTTTTGAAAAGCATAATCCAGTTTACACGTAGATTTAGATGTTTCCTTTCATATTTTTTCTGCAGGTCACTCAACTTGCCATCTATAATCTGACAAGAATTTTTTTTCAGCATTTTCTGTGGAATGCTGAACCAAAAGCTTCATAAGTTGTCATAATTTATGCTAACCAACCAAAAAAAACCCTTAAATAAATACAAATCAATGTTAAACAATAAATATTCCACAATTCCTCACATAAAAATTTGATTGGTAGAATATTAAATGACCCAGAACAGGAGATGCATAACATTCTGATCAGATCTTGGATAGTAACTGGAGTCACCTGCAGAAAAAACCCATGAAACATTCAGATTTGCACTTTGATAGGTTTCACACTACTCAGACATACAGGTAACCCCTCTTTATCACAAACTTTCATCACTCTCCACAGCTTGTAGGTCAGGATCAAATATAGGAATATTGTCGTCACTTTGAGATGACCCTTCTCCAGTTTCATCAAGATTAATTATGGGGTCGTAAGGTGCTGAAAATAAAAGTAAATAAGCTTCACATAATTACTTTTACAAATCTAGATGCAATCTGTTTTAGTTAATATTAAGAAAAGATTGAATCAAAATATTTAGAAAAACTGTATTTCATTAGCTCAATATCACTATTGTCTTTGCAAGTTCTTTGGTATATCAAAGTGTACTAATTATTTTGATGAAATAAGAATATCTACTTCAAAATAGTTCTGTTAGTCAATGTGTTAATAACAATTTAACAATAAGCACACATTGTGTCATCAAAATACGTTTTACAGTGGAGAGTTGAAATTTTTGAGAGGAAAGCGTATTCTATGTATCTGTTTGTAATCCGCAGAAAAAATCATGGAACAAAAATATCTAGAATTCTGAATTTTACTGCAAGTGGCCTTAATGGATATCGAAAATCATTTCTCAATGCATCTTTACAGTCCTATAGCTAAAAAAAAATGCTTACCTCCATCACTCATTCTGAAGAAAGGATCATCATCATCAGCATCTGTAGAATACCGTTTATCTATTGCTTCTTTTATATGGTTGTTGACACCCTGAGGATCTAGGTCCATGGCCCAAGAGAAATTCATCAGTGATAGGTGAGTATTGCCCAATTTCCTATGTACCTGGGAATCAAATGGAACAAGTTTTTGTAGGCAAAAAAATATTGTTTTATACTTTTTACTAAAGATAGGCAACAATGCCAAGTAGTGGGTGATGAAGAGGTTTGTACTTGGAACCTCTTTTGTGCTAAAGACAGTCAAAATTGCCAAGCAGTGTGTGATGAGGAAAATTTACTTAGGACCTCTGCAATAGCCCACTCTTTCTATTGTCAAAGAATCTATAATCAGCACATGAGACCTTTGTTTATTGTTACAAGGACTAGACATTTTTTCCATGTCATGTTCCCCCTCAAACCCTAGGAAAACTGAAGGTTGCCTTACCTTTCCTATCAGGAAATATACCAAAGATTCTTTAGGTACTATCTGTTTCAATTCTTCCAATTCTTTTAGTGCTTCCTGCAAATTCAGCACAAATTTAGTAAGTAAATCAGTTAAAAATCAAATATATTTTTATTAATATGCATATAAAAAAACTTGTCACACTGGCACCTCCTGAGGTTGGGGGTACGGTATTTATAAGGGACAAATGTAGGGGGTTGAGATAAAAAAAAAATGCAGTAGTTCTGTGGAGCTCATAGGTGCAAGCCTCCAATGAAACATCTGAGAGAGTTCTTCCCTCAAGAAAATGATCTCCTACTATATGAAATTTCGTTAAAAAAGTTTGCACTGTTTTTATCAGTAGGAAAGACCAAAACAGTATCAAGTGGAAAGGATGAATTTGAAATTTCTTACCGTATCTTTATCTGTAGCAAATAAAATGGAAGCACGATGGAATTTACACAGAGCGTTCTTAGGATCTGTTGCAATGGCTTTATCTAATGTTTTTAATGCAGCCTCTGATTTCTGTTGGGCGTGTTGAACCACAGCTATGTGACATAATAAAACTGAACTCTCTGGGTTTATGGATAATGCTCTTCGAAAATGAAGTTCAGCTAAATTATATTTTTCTTGTTTATGGTAAATTTGACCAATACCATACCTAAATTAACATATACATGTATATAAATTGAGGTTGTCAATAGAGGAAGCTACTACTGTATTGATATCTATGCAGTTCCCCTATAGTGACGTCATAAAACGCGTTTTAGTGGAATTGAAAGAAGCACAGACGTCCGAATGAAAATTGGAATGGTGCAAATTGATGCTATCAGAGTCCCGATACACATAAAAGTTCAGAAAACCTCTTTGCTATCCCTTTAATTTGAATGAAATTGTTAGGGAACTCACCATGCTATATATAATCTCATGTCAACTCTGACAGCATTACGGAAACATGCCATAGCTTTATCTAACTCCTCAGTTATAACATATTCATGTCCTAATAAAGTGTAGGCATAGGAACAGTCAGGATCAACCTAGAAAATACAACTTTACACTTTAATTTATGCACATCATAATGGTGTGATTTTATTTTTGTAAAGGCGCCACTCACAGTATGCAATGAGGAGAATCTTGTCAAGACAGCGCATTAGTCTACTCCTTCATTTTCTTCTTGTCCTATTTTAATGACCCAAGGCTTTTATTTGTACAAGTCCAAGAAAAGGTATTCAGTGTGCAATATAGCCCGACAAATCTGGCCTTACCCAGTTCCTCTTATGTAGTTCCTCGGATATAGGAAGTGGTTTCAGGTCCAGACATATAATTACAAGTTCCTCTGTCCTTAGATTTTGTGAATTTTCATCATGACAAAAGCCCTTTTTGGCAGAACTTTTGGTATCTATACAATACAGTCAAAGGGTATGTTTTTCTCTTCTTAATACATCTCTGTAAGAAAGTTGGGCTTTTGTCATGCCGAAAATTCTCAACAACTAGCGACCCAAAATTGGTTCACAGTAACTCCCATGAAAATCAACACTGACCCTAAACCCGGTTCTGATAACTAGTTCTGATATCCCATTCAACTGGGAAAACAAACCTGTAATGCTCTTTGAAAGAATTTTATAGCTAGATCATGCTCTTGTTGCAAGCTAAAACAGTTACCAGTAGCACACCAGGCCTGAAAAAGATCATAACAAATGAATATTGTATTATCATAATTGTAGTCTTAAAATAATATAAGTTGTCACCCTTTGGAGGGCAATAGAGAACTTTTACAGTAGATGCCCTAGACCTGTTGCTTAAAATCTTTGTTTTTGACTATGTCTATAGTGGCTATTGAATCAGATTGATGGTATTGTGTGAGACAACAAAGTAAAGCTTCAGAGTGTATCAATAATCAGTATTTATGAAACTGAGTTGAATATTTATTCTGATCTCGAGAAAGTGATAAATCTAAGATTAGCTGATGAAAATTGCCAAAAGTTGTTGTCAACAAGTTATTGACGAAAGTTGAAGGCGTAGTAACAGAGAATTCAAAGGAAATTCCCATACAGGAGAAGTCTGGTTGTTAGTAGACAAGTTATCTTCATTTCGTCACTTAACACTGAACAACAGCAAGACAATTTCAGACCAAAATAAAAATACCTGAGGTGAATGTTTATCAAGCTCTGTGAGATCTTTGGCTAATGTAGAGAGTTCGACCTCCAGTTGTAGATGCCACAATGTTGTACTGTACAGATCCATACTGTCTATATAATAAGGTTCCATACGTCGTATTTCTTCAAACAGTCTTTTTGCCTAAAACACAATAGGTAAGGATGGTTGAAAGGTAACACGTTACTATTTAGAAGTAGGCACTGACAGAGTGTGTTCACTAATTCAAGAGGTAACAAGTTACTATTAAGAAGTAGGCACTGACACAGGGTAACAGCAGTGTTCATTCAACACCAAAATCATGAAAGATAAAATCTCGCTTGGATGCATTTTTGCAAAAGCATTTCAACTTACCTTATGATAGTCTGCAAGGTCGTAATAAGCTTTGGCCACTTGTGATAACACCCAACCAGTGTTGTATTGGTGCTCTGGGAGGTCGTTTAAATATTCTATAGCTTTCTTACAGTTATAATTACATACAGCTTGATATCCTTTACCTAAAGCTTGTAATAATGTTAATACTCCAGCTGTAAAACAAGGGAAATAACTCTATAATTACACATGTAGAGAATTTGTCCTTGATCCCTAAAACAAAATGAAGACTGATTTATTTTCATATCACGGTAAATAGCTCCACACAATAAGCTGCTTCTGGCTTACCAATATCTGTTTAAAATACAGGGGATTTATTCTGGAAAACTTAAAATGATTTCAGTGCAATCATCTGATTGGTCAATCACTAAAAAGATTTTAAATTTTGTTTTTTTTAACCAATCAGATTACTTCATTTCTTAAATATGGTTTTATCTGAATTAAGTTTTCAAGGATAAGGCCCAAGACCTACAGGTTAATGCACTTGCCATCCATGATCTGACAAGATTCTTCATAAAGCATGTTCCGTGGAATTTTGATAAAATATCATCGCAACTTTTCAGAACTTATGCTAACCAATCAAAAACACTCTTTAAAGTGGTTAGAGAAGGCAATGTTTAACAATGAATATCTCAGAATTCCTCAAAAGTAGTAAGTGTATCTTGTGTATCTTTATTAAACAGAACATGTAATGGACTGAATATATCCAATGACACAGAACAGGAAATGCATTACAATCGTGTCAGATCATGGATGGGAAGAGAAGTAACTCGCAGAAATGAAACAAAAACTCAGATTGACTTACACATAGACTGATGTTGCATGTGAATGATCATCTGCGTAGGCGTAGGGGTATCTGGTATATGGTTAGCTTTACTATCAGCTGTATACTCTTCTTTATTAATCTTGTTTAATTCTTGTTGAGACTTGATTGTCCGAGACTTTGATTTACGATTGATTGCTTTTGGACTGGTTAATCTTGTCTTGTTTCCCTGACTTTTATTATTTTCCTATAAAGAAAGGAAATGGGCAAATAAAATGAAATTGAGCTTTCTGTACTAAGTTTTGGGCCTATGAAAAGAAATGGAGGTATGTAATATTCTACTGTGGCAAAGATTGTTTTTTTTTTGTATTTGATGAAAACAGTGTATACTCTACCTTAACTGAGCTAGAACTGCCAAATAATCTTGAACTTCTCCGCACACTTCGGATTCTGAAAAACAATGTAAATGTGTGCAATAACTACAAAACAAATCTAATTCCAGCTTTGCTAAAAATTTCCATATAAGATTTTGGAAGGAAATGGAAATAAACGTTTTAGGTTATGAATGATTCAAAAAATAACCGAAACAAGATACTCTGATACAGTGCCTAATGTAACAAGAGCAATTAGAGGAAATCTGCCAATTGCCGGAGGAAGTACATGTCTGTAATAATCTATCTACACTCTGGTGTTTAGTCCAACCACAACTTGAAATCAGTGTATATTACTCACCCTGTTTGAGGAATGGGTATATCTGGGGTTTTAGTATTACCACACACACTAAATACAGGTTTAGGACCTAACTTTTGATTTTGACGTCGAGTAACAGGCTGCAAAAAATATATTTGAATTTTTAACAAAATTAACTCTTCATTCATTTGACATTCTTCTGAAAGTCAGAGATTTCTGATTTTATTTAATACCAAATGCAGTATTTTTAGTAGTGTTAAGATAAATAGCTTTAATTGGCCTGTAACTTAAACTTTAAGAATGTTTACACCCATTTGCGACAGTTAACACAATGTCAACTTGTCAATGGTAAATACAGTCAATTTGTTTAAGGAATGTTTCCTTTTAGAATGAACATAAAATTTATAGTCTCAAATCCAGCCAATATATTCACTAGTGGACTTGCCTGGTGTCATAAATATACAACAGAATCCCTGTATAATCTGATAGATCCATAAAAGTAATTGAAAACTGATTGATTGACTGATTTATTGTTTTACCTTTTTACAAGGGGCTTCTACATCTTTCAACTGTGTTTCATAAAGCGCTACAGGGCTGGGCGTTAAAAATGGCATACTATTCACATTAGGACTGGACGAATCAAAAGGCATTACACCAAAACTGAAATGAATAAAAAATAGGAAAATCAAAACTCTTGAGCAATATATCAAAGATAAAAACAACCAGTTTTACTGTGATAGCAACTTAGGATCAGATGGATCATGTCTACCAGCTGTTTCTTGGCCAAACCTCTTGGCACCGGTTTGTCCTGAATGATATGTACCCATCAATAACCAAGATCAACAAGCACGACAAACATTTGTCCAATGTAACCAAGAAAATAATCTAATTCTAACACTGTCCTACATACTGTTATGTGTTTTTGAAAATTTATCCTCTGGATAATTTGTATGTTTTTGTTGAACAAAAGAACCAGAACATGGATTTTAATTCTGAAAAAAGATACATACCACTGAAATTGAGCTTTATCAGCTGGTGATGCAAATATATAGACTCAAAACCCTTTTCTAAAAGGGTGTCTGCAAATAATAGCTCAAGATATCCAGGTAGCAAAAGTCAGTAACTGTTTTACTAATAGCTAAGGATATCCAGACAGCAAAAATTAGTATATACCCGTTAGGACAGTGTTTCACAGTTTGAGAACTAATAGATAATGTTATCCAGACATTTCAAACCAAAAATATGAAATATAGAATGTCTTACCTCGGGGATAAAGGACTATGACTATCAAAAAGTGCTTTACATAATAAAGTTTTTGAAAGAGGTACATGAAGTTTTCTTTCTGACTTCAGAGCCAGTGGTACTGGTAAACTAGGAATGGTCTGGTTTTCTGGCGTTCTGTTAAAACTTCCAACTTCACTGACACAAATAGTCGGCATAGGGCTATGAATCTAAAATTAGATTATGACGGAGATTATGAATCACTGGCCTGGGAATCAGAAATCTTTCTCAGAGGAATTTGAGCTAAAAATATATTTTGAAAGAGAATGAAACCTATGCAAGCATTGGTGGGCTTGCAGATTGCAATGAGTGAAATTTTGCCAGGATTGACATTATAATCTTTCTTTTTGATTTGTAACTGTTGAGAGATCTTTAACAGCCTGTAGCACACAATACCTAGGTTTATTGTCCCATCTGAATGACTAGACCCTTCTCCATGTCAGCCGGTCACTGATAGGGGGAAACCACTTAATAATGTGACTGAACCCTGGATTTTCACATTTGCGAGCAAGCATGTAACTCATTTAGCCACCATGGCAGCTATGCATACTCAGGACTTACATTTAAAGGTTTGAGACCAGGAGTAACCACAGTAGATACTGGTATAGGAGAAACATTATCACACATATTATAGGTTGGTGGTACTGGAGTCTCAGCCACAGGTAAGGTATTCTGAAATATCTGATTTGGGTCCACTTTCTCACCTAAAATAAATTAAAGGGATACAGTCGTCATAATTGCTTTACCAGCTGATAGAGATCAATTTCAGCTATGAATATCATTTTTCAGAATCAAAATCTGGTGTCTGCTTCATCTATAAAGATGCAGTTCATAATAACTTGACTTGCTAAAAAGTCTACTTGTGTATATATCATGTAAGTATGTGGTCAGTAGAGCAGCCACTTGTGTTCAAAAGGTAAGATCAATTTGATTAAAATACAAATTTGGATGGTTTTTTTCTTCAAGTAACTTCACTTGACATCCATGATCTAATTCTACTTTAAATCAGGATCAGTTGATACTGATAGCATCAAAGTTGTCAGAATTTACCAATCAAAATTATTGTTAAAAGTATGCAAAACAAATCAATGTTTCAGATGAATATCCCACAATTCCTCTCTTAAGGTAGGGAAATTTTACTTGATTGATTGAATATTATATGAAGAGCATGCGACACACAAAAACCTTGTAGGATCATAGATGGAAAGTTGTGTTACCCAAAGAAAAATCATGAAACAAATCATCCAGATTTGCAATCTTTAAGTAAGAAGGTACAACTTACCTAACTGACAAAGTCTTTCAAATGATTTCCATAACAGAGGATTTAATCGTAAACTACGCTTGTAACACTCCCCAGCCTTCTCTATTCTGTCTGTTTTACTGTAACATAAAATCAACATAGCTTGCAAGACAAGGTAAAAAAAAGCTTGCTAGACGATCTATTTAAATTTGACCAGGCCAATAAATTTCTTATCCTCCCACCTCAATTTTCCAGAAATCAGAAGAAAAAAAACACAATCAGAACATTTGCAAAAAAAATAAACTTTACACCCTAGGAAAAAAGAAATCACCATTAGAAACTCCCATTATTATTCAAATATATGATTTTTGATTAAATCAATATTTAGAAAGTAGGAAAAACCAAGTCAATCCTTTTCTTTTCTCTGCTGCCCTTCACACAAATTTGTTCTTTTATTTTTCTTTTGTCTTTCCACAAAGAATATGAATTAGCTTGGTTTTAATAGTAATGTCTATTTGTTTTTTCTATTCCAAATAGCTTCAAATATATCTGAAAATACTGTGACATCATGAATATTTATGACCTCAGTCCCTAATACAAGGCTGTGATAAGATACAAGTAAGTGTTTTACATCAAGACACTGGAAAAACCAAGCTACTTACGAGTAAAGTGTAGCTAAGAGGGAAAATACGTGACAAGCCATATTACCATACTCTATTTCTATTTCATCTAAACTATTGGTATATTTAGCAAATACATCTCCAACTAATATAGTTTCAGCTTCATATAGCCTACAACATATAACATACACTATTATCACTGATGTCAAGTTGAACCATTCCTGATATCTTTTAAAGCTAGATTTTTTTAATTCCATGGTTTGACATATTTGGGGGAATGATTTGGGTCTTTAATATGTAAATAGTCTTCAGAACTACCAGAACTACATGAAAGTGCATAATCCCTTCAAATATACTTATCAATCTAGAAATTTCAGTTTCTAGAACGTCTTTTGAGTGCGGATAACTCTGTACGCTCAAATTTTGACGCTGATCAATAAACATTATTATTGATTAGCTAAGCTAAAAAATACTTATTTTTGAGATTAAGACACATTCGGTCAAAGTATGGTTCAAGATCCCAGTTTTTACGACATGAATTAAATATATAAACTGACTCACTTGTCTATATCCATACAGCATTTAGCCAGTAAATATTTACAGTCATGTCTAGGGGAATCGTGTTTCTTTAATAACATATGAGCCTGTATTGGTCTTCCTGACCTGTAGTAACACGTCGCCAGTAGGTATAATGTGTCGTAATTCGGAACTAAAAGTGAAATAGTAGATAAAATCATGTAAACAGTTACCGTACTCTACACCATACTGGGATAAAGAAAAAAAATTCAAATCATTTATGTATCTTATAAGGCTGATGAAATGAAATGCAGCTTGGCATCCACATGCCTTTTTGGGATAAAGCAATAAAAATTTAAATCAGTTTGTCATTCTTTACTGTACTGTATCAATCTAATGAAGAGAAATGTATTTTTGTAGCCTTTTCTATCCCTTACAGAATAATAAAATGAGATGTATTGGTATAGAGGTATTGCATCTTACTATTCACTTTATCATGCTAAAGAAAATATATTACATTTTTTTCAGCAACTTTTTTGGCTCAGGAAATGAAATGGGATAAAGTTATACATTTCTCATGTTCAGTGAATAAAGACAAGCAACACCATGCAGTGTGAAATGAGGAAATTTTGTTGAACTTTTCCTTAACAATATAAAAAAAAAAAAAAATGCATGAACAAACCTTCTGCGAACAGTCTTTCAGCTAGAAATGTTGCATCAGGAAATGAATAGTGATTTAATGCATCCCAAATAGCAGCCTGAAATAAATAATCAACAATCAGTAATAAAGAGCTAAGTGAATTTCTGATTCTTACTGAACATTTCAGTATTTCAAACACTGCTTTTACCAAGTAAAGGTACAGAAATTAATTGTTACAATGTAAAGCATTTTATTTTCCTGGATCTACTGTCCTACCAGAGCTTACAATTGGGATCTTTTACCTAATTTCAAAAACATTCAAATCAAAATTTCTTGTCATTGTTCTCGAGGCCATCCAGAAGTTTTTGTTAGGGCCAGTAATATATCCAGATGGGCAATTATGTATGGTGTTTAGTTGCAGTAATGAAATGGGTCAGTTGTCAGAATTTTTACAGAACCTGTTTTAAGAAGGTTTTTCACATCTCCGATGTTACATTTTTCAAAACATAACCTTCCCATAACCAGACCTAGATTTTCGGTCTCTACACCAGGCACAAATGTAAAAATAGCTATCTGAGGCTGGAAGTGGAAGCAATTAGTGTTGGTATTCCGCCCATCAACCAAGATAACTAGTGGGGAGGCTAGGGATAATGAAGAGGCATAGACTAGAAAAAATAGAATTAACACCCCCTCAGTTTTCATAGAAATTAAACATATATATTGCACACAAATTGAGAAAAATAATCAGAAGGGCAGATACCGAAAATGGAAATTTTATTTCGTAGTTCGACTCTTATTATTGACTCATTTGGAACTAAATTATTACAAATTATGAAACTAATTGATGAAAATGCAAATAGAAAATCACCTGAACTGGTTCTTGGTGAATCATTCTGTCTATCTATCAGTTTCATAGGCCGAAAACAAGATTTAAATGACATAAATAATCGATTTATTATAAATAATAATTTTCACTCTTGGTGAAATCCGCCATTTTAATCGGGTCTCGCTTTCGAGTCGACCTTTGACCTCGAAAGATGAAAATCTTCGATCCATGGCTTCAAGACTTACTACAATCATCATGTGAACGACTTTATAAAATTTTAAGGCAATGCCGAGTGTTTTTAAGAAAATTTACTATTTTCGACAGCTCCCATGTCAATTGTAGTGTCTTTGGTTTGTGAGCTAGCCCCATAGCCTACTGAATCATATTCGGAAGTAAATGAAAATTTTGTGAATTAAAGGACGACAGTTTAGAATTTTGGATGTGCAAAAAAAAAAAACAAAAAAACAACAACAAACTTGACACATTAGGCTAGTGGATGAAAATACAAATAAAAAGAAATTGAAGAAAAATACGTATGACATTTTCAGCTGAAAGACTTTTGCCTACCCATATTTGCCCTATTAGCTATATTTTGACACATTCTTAAAAATGTATAGGCCTACGTTTCAGAATCACCCAATCCTTGGGCACAAGCTCGTAGTGTCCCTCCTCCCTTAAAAGAAAATCAATGATCACCACAGCAGAAGGCTGCCTGTGTCTGTGGATAGTAATTGTATTTTTAGAAATGAGTGAAATGGTGGTTCTTTAATTCAATTCGCGACGGTCAAAGACATATTCGGTTGGGGCTGCCAACAATTCCTGAGACATTTATCTTTCATATTTGATAGTAGATGGATTGTACGTCGGATTTTCTTTCTAAACATTGTCATTGAAATAGATAAAGAATTAGTTGAGATAGCTGGAATAGGCTAATGTCGTTGTCCCAGCAAAATTTGGAAAAAAGGTTTTCAAATTGTGATGGACAGCCCCCCTTTAAACTCAGATTGTTATCAGATAAGAGTTATGTCCCTTTATTATTAGCTGTCAAAATGGCGACTTTGTGAATGAGTCAAGCTGTGCTTGTTAAGAATGGAGAATATTAACCAATTTGTTCAGAGATAAATGGATTTTAGTTTGGATATTTAATTTGAAAATGTCTTGCGAAAAAATATTGGCGGATGACAGCCGAAATGACAGTACAAGTAAAGTAGCAATGCGTCGAGAAGGTTAGTATTAGATTTTATTTTGAATGTTTTGTTCTATCGATACAGCCTGCAGACGTCAGTCGGCGTGACATAATCAAGTATGATTCAATGGTTGTTGAAACAAAGGATTATTTTATTATTGGACGACTTGAATGACCTTTCATTTACTCATATTACTGGTCACATTTAAAACTTTTTGGGGTATTTTTATTTCCACATTAAAAGCTGACATTATACATAGACATACCACAACAAGTCCAGTGAATAAGTTATAAAATAGAACTTCTACTTCAGGGACTGTTCACAAAGAAAATTGTCAAAATAGTCCTAATACTTTTAAATATTTAAAGAGCCCCACCCATAAAGAAAATATTGAATTTTCAAATGCAGTGTTCATGTAAGATGAGTCATTCAATTTTATTGAAAATTTAAATTGGGTCAGGCCTAATCTTTTCAACTTATTACTATAAGGCCTACCATATTTATTATTATAGATCTAGATCTAGGAATATTACTTTTTCTTTTTTGATTTTATTTTTTTCTTTATCTTGATTTTCTACTGTTGTGTTACTTTTAATTGTAAAACTTTAAATAGCTTCTCTTTCAATAAGTAAATATGTGAGCATGCACCTCAAGATAAACGACGCCGATTTAATAGGGCAGTTTATGGGATCTTATACAAGTGGTTACTACATTTATAATCATCAGACTCGTGATATACGCCTTGAATTGAAAAAAATTGCTTTCGACAAATTTCTAAATGATAAATGGATAACTGTCAATGTTTACCAGTCAACACTTACTTTTTCCATTGCTAGCCTTATACTGCCATGTTAAAGATTGTTTATCTCAAGGCAGAAGAAGGGAATTAGTGTGTTAATCCAATTACTATTAGTGAACAAGTTTCAAGATGAACAATGTTCACATTATATAGTGAGTGACCTGTCTTTCATGTCAAGTTCTAATGCATAGAAACAAAATGGACTGATCATGACGATATATATGATATAAATCTTCCCCCAGATTAGCACAATCTTTGCTTGACTGTAAGTAAAAGGATGCTGCCAAGTCTGGAATGATTGAAGTAACCTATAGAAAATGAATAAAGCAAAATATCCATCTCTTTGTTAGATTTGATTCTAATCATATTCAGTTTTTCAATCAAAACCGTTTCATAGGTTAGTCTATTTTGTTTACATTTTTTTTTTTGCTAAGTCTGTGGGAGAAAATCGTTTTATTTCAGTTTTAAAAGAAGGCAAGTGATCATTTGGCAGAGTGCCTTTTATCCCATTTAGACTGAATTACATTTAAAAATAAAGACTGAATGTGTTTTGTCTGAGGTGATGGAATGTTTTTATGAGAATTAAAACACCTACTTGGCTAGTATCTAATCTTTCTGATGACAAATTACTTTGAAATGGCACTGATAAAACTTAAAGCTATTCCTGAAATACTTTAATTTCTAACAAGACTATTTTTCATACTTGATTTCTCAAAGGTGGTATGAGTTTTCTAGTTTCTAGTTTGCAATTTTGTGGACAAACATTGATTTGAAGGCTCAAATTTCGAGGGTGAACTGTGAGCACTATTTACGATAATAGCTAAGCTACAAAAATTTCTCAGGACTCAGGTATTGCAGTTCAATTGAAAAGGATCACTATACAATTCCCTTGTTATGCAGTCCTGCAGGATACAGATGAGTAGGGCATTATACTCTATCTTATTTCCTGCTTGAAGTTATTACTTTAAAGTTATTGGAGCACATTATTAAAGGTGTGTTAATAATTAACTAATTAAGATAAAGGTAATAACAAGATAATGTGGTATGAGTTAGGGCTAATTAGTAACTAATGAACTCTGAATCCATAGCGCCGTAGGTGTGAAGCCTTTTTCTCATAACATTCTACTATCAGTTGTTCTGGCAAAAGGTAAGATTTTTTAGTTTGATCATTTTAATGTAGCTAAACCATCATATATTTACCCCTCTGTCCTGATGATTATCATGTATCTGCAACACTGTAAGCAGCATAAGATGAGTTCTAGTCAATTAGAATTGGTTCATATTGTAGAATAATCTTGACTTCTTGCTCCTATTGTAATGAAATTTCTGAATTTGCTCATGCATCTCATTCTGAAAAGAGTAACAGATACCATAGCTGAAATCAAGCTTTAGAATCATAATAATAATTAATAAAAACTGTATTAGAAACCCAGTTGCACAAGGCAATCTTCCCTGGGATCTTTCTACATACAACTACAATAACATATATTTACAATGAAAGTAGAAATAAAATAGAAAATGGATGATGAAAATTAAGAGTCACATTAAGGTGATTCAAATATATGTAAAAAGGAAACGAAATAATAGTAATCTTTACAACATTAAAGATAATAGGATAATTGTAAAATAATTCTAGTCCCTCTTATTATCATAGTTCCATTTTCAGTCCTGTTTTAAAACAATCTACACTGTTGGATTGTTGAAGTACTTGAGGTAATGAATTTCAGAGTAAACTAGCCTTGTATTTGAATGTCCTTTTCATGGCCTCAATCCAGCACTTGGGTAGATGTAATGAGTTTATTGTTTCCGAACGTAGACAGAGAGTCATTCTCCATCAAGATAATTGTAGACAAACAGCATGTCAGATGTTTATTCTGAAAAGTGTCAAGCTCCAGTATCATTCTCCATCAAGATAATTTTAGCCAAATATAGTGTCAGATTTTTATTCTGAAAAGTGATACAGATAGCTGAAATCAGCTGGTGATCAAATATTTGAATGACTATTTTTATTATGTAATAATTTTTATTGTATGGCTAAACAGCATGTCATATTTATATTCATTGGCTTTGTCATTACTTGGTTTAATGAATAATCATAGGACTTGAGAGAAAGTGTTGGATACAGGATTTTTAGAGTGCCTAGTAAATTTCTCCCTTGATGGCCACACCTGTTATGATAATAAAGAAACATCATTGAATATGGTACAGATATCAGGAATTCTTGGGTAATTGCCCACCCAGCATCTGTTGGGTTTAAAATGTGAATGATAGTACTAATACTGTTGTAGTATTTAGTATTGATATAGTAT